ACGAGGTGGCAGCCTGCAGCATTTTGCAGCAGCCAGATATCCGGTTATCCCGATTAGCGACTTTCCCAACCCCTGTGGCTCCGCCCCTGGCTATAATTGCACTTTTTTAAATGTCGGATCTCAAGATTCTTAACTTAGCAAGAGAATAAGATTCGATTAATAATGACATCATTTACAATCTAATTGGCTTATCATCATCATCTGTAACGCCCGCTTTTTGCATGTGAACTTAGCGAGTCAGTCGGCGTCATTTTAACTCTTCTATTTATTTACGTACATCGTTTATTTAGGCATAATGGAGCTGCACTGCGCGTTGAATATAGTGTAGTTTAAACATGTTTTAAGGCTTTTATATGCATTCGCAAGTGACAAAAAAAGCATGTTACTCGCTTTATTGCTATTTTCGGTTTATTGCAGTGCTGATCCTATAAGGAGCAATTCTACCGAGGTAGGCCTGTATGGTCAATCAACCACGGTGACCAACCCTGGATTGGGAAGCGGATGGGGTTTCATTCTAGAAGTGGCATTGGCAAAAAAAAAACCAGCTGTTATTTAACGTTCTGATGGAGTGCAGTGTTCTTCTTCACAATGTTTCAGAGCAGGGCCACTTTCGCCCATAAGACATCAGAGTCAGGGCCGCGACTGCCTGCAAGACAAACTCATGCAATGGTCAATGCAGTTATGTTAGCTAGGTGAACTAAATAGAAGTCATCATTAGACCCCCTTTGCCAGTACCAAAATGTAATAATAGGGGTTTTCCCCTTTTTTCTGGCAACAAAACTGAAACCTTTTTTTTACGAGGATTCATGTCTGCATTAACCACAATACCTGCAGTCAAAATGCAAACAAAAAACATACTATGATAATTTCTGCATTGTCCTTGAAACTGATTGGTCTTTTGGCATCATCTGGTCATCTGGTCGAGCACCAATTGGGTCGAGGCACAAAAGAAAGCCGTCCCTTGGTGTGGACCAATCAGTTTCAAGGACAATGCATATATTATCATAGTATGTTTTTTGTTTGCATTTTGACTGCAGGTATTGTGGTTAATGCAGACATAAATCCTTGTAAAAAGGTTTCAGTTTTGTTGCCAGAAAAAAGGTGAAAACCCCTATTATTATTAAATATAGGTCTGCACGTGCAATGCAACAATGCAGGCTTAATTATTAGAAACCAAAAATATAATATGAAGCCACCTACTTGGGGTATACAAGTTCTAATCAAAATAATACAGACACTATTACAATAATACGAATGGCAATACTCCCACCGACTAATGTAGTTGTGTCACTTTGCTTTATTTGATTTATTCGAAACCATTGCGTTTGTGATAGCACGATTTTGGGGGCGTTTTCCACTCGAGAGACGCACGCCAAGGGGCCGCAACTAAAGTCCACCAGGGGGCGGCCAGCGGCCCGCGGGCCCTGCAATGAGGAACGTTGCAACTCTCGTGCGCTGCATCGCAGAGTTGCGTGCGAAGTGCGACATCTCTCGGCAATTCACGTTGCGCGTTTGCGGCACGGCGAGAGTTTTAAGCGGATGGTTGTTATTCTTATTACCATCGGAGCTGACACGCATCACCTTCTGTGCAGTCATCTGTCTATTTCCGAAAACAAAGTATACATGGGATTAAGCATTCGGTGTGCTATTAGCCCGTTTTAATTAGCAACCAGCAATGAAGCAGCACGCATATCGAATGGGTTAACACACATTTAAGGCTTGGAACTTTGAGAAAATTACTGCATGCGGAATCTCCTTCAAAAATAATGTTCTATATCAGAGAGGTAATGAAAGCTAGGACATTCAGCCTTTAGTAGATATTCCATCAATCTGCCTAATATTCTCTCTATTTATCCAGCGTCATTCCAATAACTCGGGGTCGATTGCCATGACAGGCTTTCTGTCTTCCGCGATATTCAGCATCTTCATAATCTAGTCCGTCTCACATCGTTCCACAACCGTCTCACACTCTCCCACAAATCGTCTCACACTCCCACAAATCGTCCCACACTCTCCCAGCAACTGACCTTTTCCATCCTCTTCCCGTCTTCTCTTTCACTTTCCCGTGCCCAATGCATACGCAATATATACAGTATTTAAAAATACACTCCGGTGATATCAATGGGACACCTTTGAGCCGATATAAAAATGATGAAAACTATAAGAACAGGCTTTACACTCTGGTGACTTACTTAACAATATGGAGCCGTCAAGAAACCCTCACATTCATCGTGAAAAACATAAAGGTTACACAGATCAAGCAACCGAGTAAGTCAGGAGTTAAAGTGGCTGAGCAGCCACCACCGAGGTTCTGGATTTGAATCCAGATTTAGGCCGCATTTGAATTAACTGCCTTCTCAAGCGGAGTGAATTGGTGCTCACTGCTCAGTCAACCTATGACTGCACCAATTAGTCATTTTGTGAACATTTGTTTTTATGCATTTCATGTTGCTAAAATGGGTTTTTAGAATATGAAAAATATCAGTTTCACTGTGATCAATATTTCCTTGTCGCTGGGTATGTGGGAGAGTACGCACCAAGTGGGGATAGATTATTAGGCGATGATGCATTGGCAGTGGGTGCACAAGAACATTTCACGACAAAAAACCTCAACACATTTGTCAATACCACATGCCATTGACTTTTCCAAGACGGAGGTTCTTTGTAAGCCATCTGGCTTCCATGAGATATTCGTTCATGAGGCTATCCACATATACAAACACAGAGACAATTTCAACCGAGAAGATGGATTCTATCTTAGCAATCATTGGAAAGATTTGATAAATCATTTCAGTTCTTGATTGATTGTTCACGCTTACAGTGGCTTTCAGACAGCATACATAAAAATAAATTTCGTCTCCCCCCTCCTCTTTTCAAAAAAAAATAGATGGACTAGTCCTGGCAAACAGCCAATCGTTGCGCGTGACGCAAACGTTATTTTTATATATATAAATAAATATGCCGTTTTCAAAATAAATTTATGCAAACCGACACACCTGATGATGACCGTTTGAGTTATGGTCGAAACGTCGTGAGAATTTTTTTATTGTTTTATATATATTTTGTTATTTTGTTGTTTCTCTTCAACGTGACTTTACCGAAAAAACTAAGAATATGAATATATAAATAATATAGAACGTTACAGGCAATGGGCCTTTTTAATTGCACATTCATTGCACATGAGAATAGTTTTTCCCCTTTTTTATGGCAACAAAACAGGTGTTAAGATTTTGATTTAAAGCTTTCGTGACTGCAGTAATTCATATTCTTAGTTTTTTCGGTAAAGTCACGTTGTTGTTTCTCTTCAACGTGACTTTACCGAAAAAACTAAGAATATATATAGGTGTTAAGATTTTAAAACACCAAACTGAAACCTTTTACAAGGAATCATGTCTGCATTAACCACTATACTTGTGGTCAGAATGCAAACAAAAAACATACTCTGATAATATATGCATTGTCTGTGAAACTGAATGGTCCACACCAGAGACAGCTTTCTTTTGAGCCTCGTCTCAAAACGGTGTTAGACCAGTGGACGCCAAAAGGGATACAGCACAAAGACAATGCACTATCAGAGTAATGAGGGCTCGGGGTGAGCAACTACATCACGGGACCTCCTTTGCCAGTACCATCTCAACACCTGTTTTGTTGCCAGAAAAAAGGGGAAAACCTATTCTCATATTTTGGTTCTGGCGAAAGAGATCCCATGATTCATAGCACATGTTGGGTTTTAGTGTGAATACGGAGCTGTCAACCTCTTATGAGCGCCTTCATTATTACACGCCAATTTAGACCTTATTGGTCACACCGTGCTCTTAAAATCTCAACGTTCATCCTACAAAGCCCCATCACAAGGGAGAAACACAAACATATAGACGTTTATTTGGCCCGCATTGAAACGGCTGTACGCCGTATGGACCTGAAAACTCAATTTCCCAATACAAGAACACGCGTAAACTGTGTGGGTTGACAGGTATGAGCTTCACATGAAGGGGTCTCAGAAGCAGTTCTGCGAGATCTCATTCCGCAGGAAATCTTCTCACACCACGGGCTGATAACTGCTTTGCGAGAGTTCTGAATGCATCCCTCGTTCATAACGTCACGCCACTTGCACGACAGGAACAAAACTGATCAAAGTTTATTGAGTAAATGATGAATACATGGTGAAGTTGCAATGTTGATGTAATTTTAAACAACAAAAGGAAACATTACTTCAACCTAAATGTACTAATTATACGAGGTGTATCATGTCAGCATTGGTGGCAGTGCATGAGCAGATGACCCTGCCCAAATTTTTGTACAGCCAAGGCCATGCCACTTGTAAAAATGTTTCGAGACAATGCGTTTAAAAATCCCCAGCGCTCAGCTAACATTGCTATTGTGCTAGCCCTGCAGTACTAAACAGTGGGACGTGCGTGACAGGATTACTTTGAGAAGCCATACTAATTCAATACATTTTGTAAACTGTATTATTAGAAGCCAGCCTACAGACCATCGTCGCAAAGCGGTATAGTCTCCAGTGATACATCACCCTTCCACCCCATCTCAGGCTTGCCACCACCTAGGCGACCTTACATCCTGTGCAGGCACAGCAACGTCTCCGCACCTGCTGCGACACGTGACCTCGCCTCGGTTAAAATTTCCTTTCTGTCATCTCTGTGTGTGGGCGGCGCGCTTTAAGAAAAACAAAAACTACAAACTATTTTTTTATTTAACTGGGTAAGGCCCACTGAGCTATATAGCTATTTTTTGTCAGAAGCGACCTGGCCACAAACGATAGCTCAACGACGTGGCTTATCATGTGGACGTTTATATCAGCCGAATACTCTAAACGCACTTTGATTCTAATTGTGGAGGGGACCCTAAGAAAAATCAACACGACCACGGGGAGAACATGCAAACTCCAAAGATACAGGCGTCAGGGCCGGGGGATCGACCCCACGACCTCCTGTATACAAAACATCCCCTAGCCACCGTGGTGCCAAATCCGCGTCATCGACAAATGGGCTTGGTGCCCAGACACGGCCCCGTGTAGTCCACGAAGCGACTGCTGAAGGACGCGTGCGTGAAGCAGGCAGAAGCCCTCCGATCGCACTCGCAGATCTTCCTCTCGCACCAGTCGTTCTTTGCGTCTGTGGATGGGGTTTGGCGGGAATGAAAGTTATCATCTGGGATGGCGAGTACCGATTAATGAACTACTTCAGCGCTTTGATCGACGGGGTTTTTTTGTGCGGTTGGTTATATATGCAAGTGTGATATGTTGGACTTCTTTCGCACCGTACATAGCCAGCCGTGCTCATCGGAGGTGTGGAGGAAGGATTACTTGGGCCCCTTAACGTTTATGTCCGATCCAATAGCCTCCCTATTGAAGGCTGGGAACCACTTACAAGCCACGCTTGGCGTGGCACGGCTAACGATGACGTTCCCGTCACCAAGTCTCGTCCATCACCTCCCGTCCAGCGGCGCACGTGGGAACAGAGGTCAACTATATTTTCTTTGCCCAAAAAAAAATCTTCTTGTTATCGAACCAATATATAATCGGTAGAGTAATTGTCTGCACTACGCCGCTTTCATTTCCGAACGTTTCAGCTTTTCGGTCCCACTTTAATTCGCCAGTGGGCCATGTTTCTGATCCGTATGTCCAACGGGCGTTCGTTTCTAGGTTGACTTCAGAGTCTCGCTGAGACGGAACTTGCCCATTACCGCACGTGATGCGTCCGTGTTTACAGGCGTAGTGGTAAATGTCGCTGTAGGGGTTGCAGCCCGCCGTGATCGCCCGGTTGTAGCAGCAGTCATGAGAGCGACAGCAGCTGTTGAGATCATAAGAGAGACACAAAGTCGGCGTTGCGCTCGCTGCCTTAATACGTGCGAGCATCGGGCCAAAGAATCCCAACTGCTTCGAGCGCACAACAAGCACTTTAATGCCTGCCGCGAAATGAAGCCACGTCGGTCTGCCTCAAGGGTCCCGACTGACTCGGCAAGCAAGTTCAGAAGAGATGCGGCGAATCGATTCGGCGACCGCTTCGGTGAATAAGAAGAGCCTCACAGCCGAGCCGCCGGTCCAGCCTCCTGTCTTGCTTAGAATTGCTTCGGCCACGGTGGACTTCACGCGGAATCTGCGGCGGGTTTGCACTGCCTGCAACGTTGTTGGCATTCGCCTTGATTGTTGCAACGCCATCCTTACTCGGCGAACAAAAAGAAATCCTCAACAGGCTTCAGCGGAAACAAAAGAACCTGTCACGCACTGTCCTTGGCATCAGGCGCAGCCATATGACTCCAATGTATTCGCTAAAAAAGACAATGCACCGGACTCCCCGTGACATCAAGGATAAAGTACAAAACAAAATCGTTATCCTGTGCTCACCGAATTCTTTTTAAAGATCTCCCGCCATACCTCTCCACCCTTTTTCACTCCACCGACCCACAGCAAACCGCTAAGACTTATGGAGAACATTATCATTGTCACCAGAATCAAGGACTGTACTGGCTGAGCAGCGTATCCCTCATAGGCGCACCGATCATCTGTAAATCTCGCCCACTGCACATTCCCGTCATCCAATGGCCATCTATCTTCAAGCAGCAGCTCAAGGCTCTCACCTGCTCAGGCTCTCAGCTGCTCACGCTAGCATATGAGGGTCTTTGAGCTCTCGCTCCGTGCCTCCGATTCGCTAAATATGCTTGCATTTCTAAGTAGAGTTTTTAAAAATTCATATTTGTTTGTTATTAAGCACACATGGATACTCAAGGACAGTCTGGAGTGCAAATGTGGTGAACAACTTCAAACAATGGAACATTGTGGACTAACCCATTCCCTTGCTTTGCTTAATATTTTCCTTCAAGTGATTTAAAAAAAAGAAAGATCTCCGCCCACACACAAGACATTAATCCTGATATTTTTTTTTGTTTCTCACAGCTGGAATTTTGTGATATGATATGAAAAAAAACGAATTTAATGTTTTTTTTTTAAAGTCATTGGTAAACGGGCTGAGAACCACCAACTCTCCTAAACTTGAGAAGCCATTTTAATAACGGGAGGCTGCAGATAGATTCGACAACACAGGATAGAAGCTGCGGTGGCTTCGTCCCCTATGGTTGTTTGCATAAAATAACTCAAGTGATATTTACCCTTAATTTGCAATGTAAATCAGTGTGAACAACGGGTCCAATATCGCTTAAGGAATGCTTTGCAAATGCCACTGACCTCTGTCTGAGCCACCTGCTAACCGCTTTCTTGGGAATTGTTGAGTGCGCCTTGGAGGATGCACGTTGCACAGGTAATCCTTGACGCGGTCGTATTCACACACATCGCGCAGAACATGAATTCGTGGATATTGTGTGTTATTCCGTCATTCTTACCGGTCTGTGGGGTCTACTGGCGCCCCCTTGCCTCCAAAGCCACAGTGACAGCCATAGCCGTAATAGTCCAAAGGCTGACGATTCATCCGGCACTCGATCATGTTGCCAAACTGCACAACGTTACGCCTGTGCCGGAGTCTGTTTGAGTCCGTGCCCTCTGTAGCGCTGAGAAGGACTGAGACACATGGACAAAGTAACGTGACTTCATGAATAATGAGTCTTGCCGAGTCAAAGGGAGTCAATGCTATAACGAGCATTGGGGTCACTATCATATCCATTTGTGAGGCTTGCCTCTCATTCGGAGGAAGGCTGTTCACGAATACCAGCAAGTGGTGTTAATTTAATTCAACCTGGCCAGATGATGGGATAAGATGACCTTCTGCCCGGATTTGAACTCGCATCCTTCTGATTGTAAGTTGAACACTAACCCGAGTACGACTTCGCTGAATACTAATAATATACGTATACATTGTAATTTGTAAAGCATTTTATTGCAGCCGCATGTCAAGAGACTAATAAAAAGCAATACTGATTTAAAGCTTTCGTGACTGCAGGGATTCATATTCTTGGTTCTTTCGGTAAAGTCACGTAGAAGGGAAACAATAAAATAATAAACCACAACAAGAAAATTTTCTTGTTGTGGTTTTCACACCTGATGATGATTGCTTGTGTTGCAGTCAAAACGTCGTGAGAATTTTATTATTTTAGATTTTTATTATTTTATTGTTTCCCTTCTACGTGACTTTACCGAAATAACCAAGAATAAAAAAGCAATACATTTGTAATACGACTGGAAAAGACGAGTTATTTCTAAAAATGTTTATCAAAGAGAGGCTGGCTAAGTCTCAAGATCGTATTCATGCCTAGTCCTGCTTGGAATGTTTGGCTGATTGCTTAAGTATTTCAACATGTGGGAGGAAACCAGCACACCCTGAGAAAAACCCATGCATATGTGACGAGATAACACTCAAATATCCATATTGATAGGCCAGACATCTACTTAATTTACAAATTTCTTGTAGCCATGTCATAGGTCTGCATGATGGAAGTATTGCACAGGATCATCCACCAACCCGCACTTCCATGCAATGGCTTTCAGGCATCTGCCACCATGCCCAATAAGCTCATACAAAGGTCACAAACAAAAACACTTCCAGCAGTTCTTGACGTAATTAATCATACTTACTGTAGGTCTTTAGGGGTTTTAATTTTCATTGACAGGAATAGTAAACAAGGAGTACATTCAGTAAACATTTATCATATTGTGATCATTGTAATTGTTATCTCTCTTTCTCGATCAACTATCGAATTAAGGCTTTTGCCCAAAATCTAGTCGATGGATTTAAATGGGATTCTAAACACATGACATAAGTTCACAAACAGTGGAAAGAGGTGAAATTGCTACAACAAATTAAAATATTTATCTTAAAATTTGGATATGAAATTGTGTTTGGACACAAAGATTGTAGAACAACTGACCCAAAATATTTTATTCCCCAAGTTAAGACTAAATTAGAGACATTATTTAGAAATGCGTTACGAATGACATAAATTAAGTGGCTTAAAAATAGAATAGTCTCAATTGTAGTTTAGCGTTTCAATGTGTCTTTCTTCTTCTCATTTTGTCGTGTATATTTCCGCAACTGTATTGTTTGAAACAAAGTATTTTATCTAGTATTTACTGAGTAATTATCTCAAATGCCCCTTTTTTCCGGCACCCGGAGATATACTGCACGGAAAGCATCACATGACTAATACAACATGTTAATGATGACAAATGCCATCATTTCTTTGTTCCATCTCCAATTTCAAAGTCCACTTACGGGTGCTTTTTTTAATTCTCTCTCGGCCGCAATTCCATCTTTGACTTTGCCAACCAGATGGGCTCTTTCTTTTTAAAGCGACCAGACTAGTGACCTTTCCTGAAGGTGGCCATGAGGTGGCAATTAAGCCAATGGATAATTACATCTATCTGTGTGGAGATAATGACAAACATCTCAATATCTCAATACAGGACCATCCAGGGAGACACAAACGTTTGATACTTTCCTGGATATTTTTTTTCTTATAAAGTCTGAGTATAAATGCGCCACCTCCGACTCCATTTCAACGTGGTTTTTATCGGTTATTGTCACGTGATTCGCCTTTAACACCCAAATATTTTCCCCCTCACTCCTTTGTGCGGTGTTGAGGTTTTCTGCTCCATTTGTTCTTCACTGGCAAGCGAGAAAGTTTTCATGGGCAGCGTTTTACAACGTGCACTGTACACACGTCGACTGAAAAACGATACATTATGTACGTAGCAATATTTTCGCAGGAGAAACATTGGTGCAAGCATCTTACATACCCCCGCCTCTGTCAACACTGCAGTATAAATGAGTGCACAGCAGTTAGTCGATCAGTGGGTCGCGTGGTGGGGTAAAGTGTGGGTACTCCCACCTCTTCGAAGACGACTAGCCAGTGTGGAATGGCTAAGACACAAAATATCCTCTAAGGGCTGTCTAGAGCTCCCTCTGGTTGAGGCACCTTCTGCCAGTAGTGGCGTGAGCAAGTATTTGCAGGGCCTGCACCTTTACCACCTTGCTGTGGGTATGCAGAGCACGTACAAAACTAACATTAACCCATATAGTCTTAAACCGGCACTTTTTGTGCGTATATATACTGCCCCATAAAAATAAATATGAGTATACACATGCATAGTGAGGTTTATCAGCATACCATGTGTGGTATTTCATATACTGACAATTTATTGTCTCTTTAAAATGCATTCAGCTGCATTGCGTTCTTAATGTCAGTAACTCACGCCGTTATAACAGAGTAGTACCAAGTTGTATCTCTGGCTGAAAAAGGAGCTAATCAAAATCCAATGCACATCATAAAGCACACACACACGCACAATGTTCAGCGATACCTTTACCATACGACACCCTCCGTTTAAAACGGAGTGCTGCACATTACTTCACGTTATTCTCCGACGCGTTTACGATCGGTTTCGCGTGGGTCAGTACTTGCCTTACCTCCGAACAAGCAAGCTGCAGTCCACAATGCACGATCCATGGCTTCTGGTCGATTTCGACAAAAACCCGCCAAACACAACCGTTCCCTCGAAAGTCCAATAAAACTGACGCTTAGATTTCAGTTCACACGTGCGCAGCGTACTAGTCTCCCGGCTCGAGTAGGGCAATTGCTTCACTGGGTGGATATTTCTGACATCAAGGTATATAAAAAATAAATAAATCCGAAATCAAGTCTAGCTGTTACTTTGTTGTCGTGCAGAGCATACGGGACATTTTGTTTTTTCCGAGTGGGTACTGTTGTGTTAAATTGGTGACTTTTGGGTAAATAGCCATATGAATGTTAATGGCTTTGCCAGAAATGTCAGCTCCCAATAAAACCCAGACTTTGCGATTGTTGTGCCTCCAGCCTAAACATTTAATTTGAAACAGGCCCCTTGGCATGTGTGCCTGTGAGTGGATGTGTGTTTGTGTGCACTCGTGTGTTAGAATGTGATGGTCTGGATATTTTGAAGTTTGGTTTTCACAAAAAAAAAATTCGTGGAATCAAGAAAATTCACGGAATTATGTACGTGTTTTAAGCGGATTACAGTGCAGGTGAAATAACGCGAACGTTCATGATGCTACGCCAACATGTATGTGTGTTTGTATGTGCTTAGTTTTTTTCTCTCAGTACTAAAGCAATCATTTTATGGATCTGTTAGTGCCTTGTTTATATCTACATATGAACACACGTATTTTTTTTATTGAATTACAACGCAAGTCAATTAGGTTAACATGTGTAAAGTTACTCCAAGCTAACACTTGTAAAATTGTGCTGTTGTCTGCCTGTATGTGCTTTGCATTGGTCTTTAAAAAATAGTTGTACGCATCTGTCGGTGCTTTATGTGTGTAAGCTATTCAATGACACATGCAGAGACTTGCAGAAAACTCTTTAAGGGCAAGGGACCTGGTATGAAAGATGAGCCATTTATAAATCAATCACTCACTCACCACTACAGTCCAATGGTTTATTACTGGAAATAAAAATCCTTTAAGTTTATTGTCAGTGAATGTTAATTACTTTTTGAGAAATGCAAGATGAAAATACTTTTCTGCCATCGTCATCAGAAAATATGGACACTTGGACAAAATACCAGCTTGTTTTATTTTACACAGTATGTCAGTTGTGAGGCAATGTGTATAGCATTCTGTTGAATTATTTTAGGCCTGTGATGTTTACATTTGACAACACGCTTCTTAGAAAAGAGTTTGTCATCAGTCACAAATGGATAACACAATAATATTAATACATTTTTTTGATAAAGAATAACATAATTATGTATAGTCTTGTTTCACCCTCACAATACATTTGAACATTTTATAATCCCCATTTCATCATGAAAACATGCATTTTTATGGTTTTCATTCATTCCATATGGGCATGTGGCGAGGTTTGGCTTTGAGCCATCACTCTAAATGTACTATGGCGCAAGGCCCAGCTCTACAGATGGCTCCCACTGGAATAGTTAAGACTTTTCCCTTCCCGCTCACCCTGGTGATGAGCCAATGAATGACCTTACCGTGACTCGAGTGAGCCCTGCCTGCAATTTGGCCCGTAACTAGGGTAGGCAAATGTTTGTCTTTCTCATCATGTTAGTGGGAAGACATTGCTCAGAGATTCAGTTGGAAAGTAAAAGTGCATCCCTGTGGCTTGCATTCAAAAATCACTGCTGGCAGACGGCCATCTACTCGAGGATATTTGGCCCTACCCTTTCATGCTTGCCAGACATCTTAGAATAGGTAGGCGTACCTACACTTTACCTCACCACACACCACTTGCCGAACAACTAATTGAGGTGGTACCCATTTATACTGCTGGGTGGACAGAGGCACGGATTTAAACATCCCCATTGTTTCAACTGCCACCACCTCCGGATTGCAAGTCCAGAGTGGAAACCATTGCACCATGGCACCATCCATTCATTTGTAAAGAGGGCCAGAAATATTGTTCTAGTTTGGTGCCCAGTGTGCCATAAATGCAACTTCTGGGTTAGGATTATTTCCAGATGTAAACACTATTATCGCCACAAGTGTGTAACGTTGCCTACATTTTTCTACGTATAAACAGTAAGAGAAGACGTTGACAATCATATATTTTGTACCCAGAATGGGTAATATAATTTATTAAAATATATTACTTCACAATTGTAACAATCAGTAAATTGTTAATACTCTTATACTTAAGTATCCTATAACTTTCTATACAGCTCTCACAACCTCGCTACTCCCTTTCTCTCTAGGCTTAACTGCCTCCATCATATATTTCACCCCTTTGTATCGACTCTCCTACTCCCTAAATTTCCCCAACTGACGGCTTCGGGCTGCCTGCTAACTGCCCCAACTGACAGCCTCGCGGCTGCCCGTTAACTGCTCCAACTGACAGCTTCGGGCTGCTCGTTAACTGCCCCAACTGACAGCCTCGGGGCTGCCCAGTAACTGCCCCAACTGACAGCCTCACTGCTGCCCGTTAACTGCCCAAACTGACAGCCTCACGGCTAATAGGTTTTTACTCTTTTAGCTGGCACAAAAACTGACACCTTTATACAAGGGATCATGTTTGCAATAACCACAACACAAGCAGTCAAAAATGCAAACCAAAAAAACTCTGATGATATGCACTGTCCTTGAATTTGATTGGTCCACACCCGAGACGGCTTTTCTTAGAGCCTAGTCTCCACTGGTGTTGGACCAGATGGCACCATAAGGCGTACAACTCAAAAACAGCGCACTATCAGAGTATTGGGAGCTCGGGGTAAGCCTTTAAATTATGAGACCTCCTTTGCCAGTAACAAGATATAGTAATAGGTTTTTACCCTTTTAGCTGGCACAAAAACTGACACCTTTATACAAGGGATCATATCTTGTTACTGGCAAAGGAGGTCTCATAATGTAAAGGCTTTCCCCGAGCTCTCAATACTCTGATAGTGCGCTGTTTTTGAGTTGTATGCCTTATGGTGACATCTGGTCCAACACCAGTGGAGACTAGGCTCTAAGAAAAGCCGTCTCGGGTGTGGACCAATCAAATTCAAGGACAGTGCATATCATTATCAGAGTTGTTTCTTTTTGTTTGCATTTTTGACTGCTTGTGTTGTGGTTATTGCAAACATGACCCCTTGTATAAAGGTGTCAGTTTTTGTGCCAGCTAAAAACCTATTACTATAGCCTCACGGCTGCCCGTTAACTGCCCCAACTGACAGCCTCGCGGCTGCCCGTTAACTGCCCCAACTGACAACCTCGCAGCTGCACATTAATTGCCCCAACTGACAGCCCCGTGGCTTCCCATTAACTGCCCCAACTGACAGCCTCGTGGCTGCCCGTTAACTGCCCCTGACTGCACCTCACACCCACGAGCTGCAGGAGCGGGTGGCTCCGTCAACTCAGTGTCGCCGACAAGGCTCACGCTCAGCACTACCGGTCGGTAGTCCCATCCCCGCAGCTCCCCGCCGTGGTGCCACCTCCCCCCATCATCATACAGCTCCTCAACTTCTTTATCCACAAGGATCGTGCTTCACGACATATGCACACAGTGGCGACTTCCCTGCTTTTTTACTTTCTCTTGTTATCCACTCTATATTTAACATGTAAAAGATATAGAAATAATATGTATCTATCTATAATTGCAGCATATCTATGACACCTGTAGTTATTATTTTGAATTCGTGCACTGCTGTGACCACCCATGTGAATTGAGGGAAACGTTCACAGAAATGGGAAGACGTTTCAGCGTTGACACAGACCACAATTTTCTTTCCGAGCCATCACATTTTGCCACGGTAATATTGGATACATTGATGGGATAACGTTTGCATGAGCTCGTAGACCATGCTCACCTCAGCGGTGTTTTCTGGTAAGGGATCAGTCATAATATGGTCACTTGAGTAGTTTGTGAATGCATAAAGTTGGATTACGTTTTGACGAGTCAAGATTGTTCAGAAATATAAATATTTTGCCGGGTCTTAGGTCAGCTCGTAGGCGTGTGTAAACTATGTTACCTTGATCTATTATATCCTTAACTCTTTGTTTCATGTCTCGATCCGGAAAAGGTGACCCACGGAAACTTCTGTGGCCCAAATCCTACAGGGCACATAATAGGCTGCTTCATGGTGAAGGCCCAATTCGGATTGGTTAAGCGGTAGGCAATGATTTATAAAAAGGGCCATTATTGGGTGTTGGGTTGTCTGAGTTCCAGAAACACGGGCACTCAAAGGTTGTCTCCAGGTGACTTCGACTCTAAAAGAAGGCGCAGAGACTCGTGTGCTGGTGATTGTTGCTATCATGCTTGCGTGTGGTATGTGTGATATTTATCTTTAGGTTAAACAGCTTCCCCAATTAAACTATCATTCATAACCGTGAGAATCAGCAATATTAGACTGTGCTAACTTATAAAACAAACCACGTTAATTTGAAATGGGCTTCATGCAAAATGTTTAGTGGAGGGTGGGGGTGTGCGATGAGCCTGATCACGTAAGTTCAATTTCTGCCCGTGGTTGTAAACATCAGCGGTTAGTGACATCTGAATCAGTCCTCGGTCCCCTCTACTTGCTGTGAGGCACAGATGTTGCCGCTGCACTGTAAAGCGATGAAGTGAATTCATGATGTCAGGGAAATACATTTTAATAACGTAAAAAAGGTATGTCATGGCCAGATAAAGATGTCATGGACGTCTGCTTGCCCATATAAAAAGTTGTGGAGCAAGCACAGAGACTAATAATGGCGATTACATGCACAGAAACGATAATATCGAAGCCACGGTTGAGTCCATTCTTGAACGCATGCACCTAACTTTAACCCTATTCCTTACCCAAAACCTAACTGGGTTCTGTTCGAGCTGGGTTTTGTTGAGCATAGGTTCAAGGTGTTGTACTTCGTTGTCATCGATGCAACGTGTTACGAGCAAATTCCCTAATTGCCGCTTTTCCTTTTGGTTTTTTTTAGTTACTGCCTTGGGCGAGATTTTCCTCATGCATGCATGACGCGTCCGTAATGTTATACTTTTACGCTGCCACAGAACCACGCTGCTAGGACTTTCAGGAGTGAGGAGTGTGCGTTCGAGTTCTGTAATTCAGCAGAGAATAAAACTTGTATTGTTAAGGTGCAGAGCCGAATGACAATTCGTGAACACTTCATATTACTAAAACTACACACTTCTCTGTTGCACATCGGTGACTGCAATGTAATCCATCCCTCACGCCATTGTATTCAGAGGCATTTAAGGATAAACGAATGAAAGGGATTAATTTAAACCTTTAATATGTATTGATTGTACAGCTTCTTCTAAACCACCGCAAATGTCAGAACATTTTTAGGGCTGAAGATAATTTCACATATACAGTGTAGTTCCAATTTGGCAGGGTAGCGCCGTGATACACCAGTGCCTCACAGCAACATGACCTTGGGTTCAATTCCCGACTCGGGCGCCTTCCTGTACGCTGCATGCGTTTCCTGGTTTCCGCTCTTAGCTAAAAAAAAGCCATACAATGTTACTGGTATTGGCCAAACATACCAATACTGAACACTTACCTGCAAATTAGTCAATTTGGAGTACGCGTAGCATTGTTGCCACTACTGCGAAAAGTTGGCAAAAACCCTCCTGAAAGAAGTCTTGAGCCTTCGGTGACGCTTTGCTGGGAAAACAAATATAGTGATAATAACAATAATAAAACAATTAAATTTAGACTTAAAACTTTCGTGACTGCAGGAATTCATATTATTGGTTCTTTTGGTAAAGTCACGTAGATAGAAAACAAAAATATAAATTAAAACCAAAAAAATCTTCATTTCTCTCCACCTGATGAAGACCGCTTGTGTTCGGATCGCAATGTCGTGGGTTTTTTGCTTTTAATTAAGATTTTAGTTTTCTATCTAAGTGACTTCACCAAAAGAACCAAGAATAATAATAAAACAATTAATTCATCGTAAAGTCTCCACAATGATCAATTTTGTATTAACAGTGGTGAGAAATTAGCGTGACACCACAATATGATAGAAAATAATGCTTCAGGGCTCCATTTGAATAACCAAAATATTATCTTTGTCCAATGCTACATTTTTACTAAATTTGAGGACATATGACTTTAACATCACAAACACATTCCTGCGGAGGGAGCTGGTAGGAACGTTGGGTTGCTCGGTCAATGGCCAGGATCAACGGCGGCACCACGTGGTGTATTCCGCAAATATGCCCGACTGTGAGGGCGGGCACAAGCCGGCGTGAGTAGGTTAAACGTTGAGTTTTAAAAGGGCACCACGGGGTGACCAGCCCCACCCCACCCAGCCCCACCCCTCCCACCCCCCACCCAGCCCCACCCTCCCCTCCGCACCCAGCCCCTCCCTACCCTCTCCTCTCCACCCAGCCCCACCCCTCCCACGTGGACAGACATCCACAGACATACACAATTAATCCCCTGCCTCCTGTGAATTAATCCCGGTTGGGCTTCCAGTTCACTACGTTTCCTACCAGTACAATTTTTATTATATGAAGGTTGCCACATCATTTATAGGCAGAGTAATATGCAATGCATGATTTTCCTTAACTTGCTTCTACCTTCCCCCATTGCTATGCTAATGATTTCATAATTTACAGTTGGGGCTTCCATTGCATCGTCACTGGGGATTTAAATCCATTGCTCAAAACAGTAAAAAAAAACATTACAAAACTATTTTCATGTTACTAAATTGCATTTATTCCCCGTCTTCAACGTAACACTTTGATATAACAAATAAAATAGGCGGTATCAGTTTTCGTATAACTTCAGCACTAGTTGGTAGGCTATACTCATTGCAGTGGTAAAGGTGCAACCCTGCGATTGCTTACATCTACCACCGCTAGTGAAGGGCCTCCCCTGGAGGGTGCTCTAGAGAGCCCTTCTAGAGGATATTTGTAGAGGATATTTGTACCCATTTATACTGCCCGGTGGGGACAAAAACGGTGGGAGGATTCAAGAAATGTACCCAATGTTTCAACTGCAGTGGTATTGTCTGGTAATGGGTGAAAGACAATCGGGGAGGGGGTCAGCAAAAAAATATATCATTTAAATAAAGTAGTATGTACATGAATGATTAAAGTTGGATGAGGCTGTGATTAGTAAAGATTATTCATGTATAATCAAACATGCATTGTCCTATCTAAGCTCATAAGTGTGTGCAAATATTGTTACCTCCATCTATATCTTTGAACTTTTGTTTGTTGCCTGTTCAGGACGGAGTGACCGACGGAAACTTTCGTGGCCCTAATTCCACGGGGCAAACGGCTGCTTCATGGTAACCCCCCCCCCCCCCCCCCCCACGAATCTGATTGGTCAGGACGTGGGCAGGCAACGAGATTAAAAAGGGGCCTTTTGGAGTGTGTGGCAGCATTGACCAGGTTGACATCAACGCTAAAGACGTTTCGATGGCTCGTGTGCTGGCGATTGTTGCTATTGCGCTTGCAAGTGGTGAGTTGTATATTTCTACTTCAGGTTAAATCAACTGGTAACACATACACCGTAAACATTGAAAACCATAATCGGTTAGAGCACCACCAAACACTACTGGCAGCATCATCAGCACTATACTAACCTGAAACACGTTAAAGACATGATTGTTATTCTGATGGGTTTTTTTGGCTGCATAGCATTTTGTTCAGTATGATGCCCGACGTTTCGCTTCACATGCAGGGAGCTTCTTCAGGAACTCAATTCAGTGGAGCGAAACGTCGGACATCACGCCGAATAACACGCGGTACAATACAAAAGCCCATCAAAGAGTGATACAGCAATTAAAAAAAAACCATAAGCAATAGTAAATACATTTAATTCATCAACACAGTGAACTCATTAATATCACCGACAAATTGATTAAAACCACCAAATGCCCATTGAACATTTGCTACATTCGTGTTCACTATTTCATGACGGTAGGTAAATCAAACTTGTTAAACTCATGGAAAAAATGAAAGCCATTGTTTGGAGCAATGCCGTTTTCACAATATCACGCAGCAGCAAGCGGGCATTTAACACGTTGCTCCGGTTCATGGGTACGTCTGTGTGCTCGCATGTCCTGTTTCACAGTGTATCTTGCAAGTGGACAGGAGGTCGACAATCATAAACACAAGCGATCCAGCTGGAACTTTGCTTGGATGATCTACCGTGTCACGGGAAGAAATCCACTCGATTACAGTGGCTACGGCTGTCACTGTATTATGGGAAGTGAAGGACATCCAGTCGATGCTGTGGACAGGCGAGTGTGTGCATTGCGTATTTTCCCCATGTGTCTTTTCCCATTTCCAGCCTAACCAGTCATCCAGCAGGTAGCCTTGAACGCTAATGCAGGCACCAAACACAGTAGGGCTTTGACTTTGGCCAAAGTAATTCCATCCAAACAGGTCGTGCAATTTGAGTAAAATTAATTGAGATTTTCTTGGTGGAGGAGCATAAGAGCTGTGTTTATATATATTATAACCTCAGCATTCCACGTATAGTTAGGAATTAGGTGGGTTGAGTTATTCAGAAAATTTTCCACAATAAATTGTGGGATAGATATTAGGCATGTAATTAATAACAAAAAAATACATTTGTATCCCAATTCCTGTGTTTAGCTTAAACCGTACATTTCGACCCCCAAATCATCCTTCGTGCATCGAAACTCATCAGATCTCAGTAGTTAAGCAGGCTTGGGCCTTGTTAGTACATGGTTGAGTGACCAGCAGGGATTGTCAGACGTTTGTAGGCTTGGGGCTACAAGGTGCCTAGAAGATGGCAGGGTTGAATGTCACCACCTCTTGTGCTTTGTGGGTTTTCTGTGGGTACCTCTGGTTTCCTCCCACGTGCAAAACACTCGCCAATGTAATTGGCCAAACACCTCTCTCGGAAAAGAGTCTTGAGAAACAGTGAGGCTTTCCTAAGTAAATTATCATCATTATCAACTGATATAAAAAAAATAATGAACGCTCACAATGATACACTTAATTTGTTTCGACGTATCAGGTTTAGAGTACATTGTTGGAATAATTGCAAAGCAAAATTGAGCATTTGTATCTCTGGCCGATGCCTATGCGTACACAGGTGCTGCCAAGTTCACAACCGATGCTATGACGCCGCCTTCAGTATGGGGTGCGCATCGGATTTGGATTCTTATGAATTCAGCACTCGAGGAAAAGCCATAACCTGCAGTAAGTGACGGTCAAGCATTCTGTCTTTACACACATTTATCATACATCACATTTCATCACGATGGCTATTGTGTCGGTATTCAGCACACATAACTCGACACAACCATCAATAATACTGCCCGAAATGAAGACATTATTGATATGCAATAGTTCAGCCAATACAAGGGCCCTCCTTCATAGCATATCAGGGCCATTGCCTGACATGTCGCCTATTATATAAAAATGACAGCTATTATAGCGCCGTTCATAAGATCTCAAGGTGCTTCATATCGATGACAATGGATGGAGGGGGGGGTGTAAGGTGTGTTTAGGTTACGTAGAAAATGGAAGCGTTCTTGACGGACGTGTTTGAGTTTTGTTGGTAATTTGTGAGCCACTGTCAAAGCAGCATCACACACACACACAAAGAAAATCGAATTGAACATTCTGTTGACATTTACAGGTGGTTAAAGCCGAATGTTAATACGGTCAATAATGGTAACGCATGTCTTGTTTCGTTTACATATTTTAGGGAAGCAGGGATCACCATGTGAAACGCTGGCATGCTCTTGTGACAAAGCTGCCGTGGAGTGTTTCGCAATTCACGACTTTGACGACAATTTCCAGAACTTCAAGAGAAACGGAGTCTGTGACCAATAGAAAACAGCCGTTTTATGAGGGCATAAAGAATCAACGTTCGCATTTTAAAGCACCCACGTTCACGTATGATCGGTGATGGCCCGCAAAATAATATGAATTTTAAATAAATTCGTTATTTAAATGATAAAACATGTTAACCAATTTAGTTAACTTAAAAATTAGGATTCAACCCATACAGACATGAAATTATGGATCAAAATATCCTTTGAGCTATACCGTTCGCATCCTTAGGCTGTCATTCAGTTTCGTGACTTAAATAATGAGCTAATATTAAATGTATCGTGAAAATCATATGTGACTGCAGGTTGTGCTATTATTGGTGATACTACTGTATAACTATGGTGTAGGACTGTAGTTGTGCTTTAGTGGGGAAATATAATTCCTGATGACTTGTGCTGAAGTGTATCAAGTGAAACAAAAACATTTAATTTGAAAAACAATTATATTGATAATGCGAGCTAAGGTGATTACAACTGGTTGTGGTGTTTGCACTATATATAATAAAGTGTTCAATGGAAGTTAAAGTATCACTTTCTATTTCATATGGATTTTAATTGAGCAGCAATTTCATATAAATCACTGGAGTTATATTACCTTGCCGGTGACCAAATCACCAAAAATGGATGCTAATCAGGATTGAGCCAACTAAATACTTACAACTATTTAAAATTATGTTTTAATCAGGTAAGACCCACTGAGATATTCTAGCTCTTTGTCAGAAGTGACCTGGCCACAAATGATCGCTCAACAAAGTGGCCTATCACGTGGAAATTTATAGCGGCCAAATACTTTAAACGCACGTTGTTTCTAATGTAGAGGGAAAAAAACCCGGGGGACCCGGAGAAAAATCCACACGACCACGGGGAGACCATCCAAACTCCAAATCTCTAGCAGGCGTCAGGGTCGGGATCGAACCCACGAACCTCCCTGTATACAAGGCGACGCAGGTAACGTCCCGCCACCGTGGCACTCTTGGATGGATGGCCACCAGGGGCTTACCAGGGGTTGGTAAGGAAATGGCAGCGTTGAGTACTGCACCCTCATTTACAGGGGCTATCTCCGGGTTTGTTCCCACACGCAAAACACTCACCAATGCAGGGCCCTGCATAAAGTTGGGCCCTGCATAAAGTTTGCATTAACCACTCGTACCTTGTGGTGAACATGCAAAACAAACATGCTCTATTAATATATGCATTCTTTGAAACTGATTTGGCCTACACCAGACAGCCTTTTCTATGGCCTAGTCTCAGACCACAGAACGCCAAAAGGCGAACAGTACACAGACAAGACACTATCAGAGCACCTAGAGCATTACTATTATTGCTCATAAACATGTGAACTAAAATGTTCAAACATCACGTGTCATACGGTATTTATAGTGCGTTTGTGTTCGCGCTGCCAAAACTGATGCACATCATCAAAATGGGTGTCATGTGAAGTGGAAGACACCGACGTAACAATGCCACCTCATATTTATTTCGCATCTCTTTTTAGCACTTAAAGATTAAAGTTTACGTAAAAAAATTACCATTCCTTTATGATGTCTGCATTAAAGTTTTCTGGATGTATGACCGAAGCCTGATTTTCATTTCATGTTTCATAAAACGTGATATAGTATTTAATTAAAGGTCCCGGGATACAGCACACACTCATGTTCACTCTCATGGTACATTAACATTTGCTGAAACCAGTATATTGATGTCGCAATGTCACTTTTGAATGACTTTGGGTGGAACATTATCAAATGAGATATTTCAGAATATTCCAGGTCGTATTTGTTAATGGCCTTGGTGGGAGTTCATGCTGTTTTCAATCAACAATATAATTAAGGAGGGTCATGATTGAATGGGATGTTTGTTTGGCTTTGTTTTGCTTATTAATTCCAGGTCTTATAACGAATACTCTATACGCATACAAATACCGTGCAGAAATTATGGCGGTTACACCTCTTACCTGCGTGGTTTGGTGGTGGATTGGATCTGTTTCCCGAACCGCCCTTGGGAGAGTGTTTCTCAAACTCTTCACGTTGGCGACCCCTGAATGGAAGTCATTTATCCACAACCCCGCAAGGTCACCATAAACACAGGAACGCATACAGCTGGACTCCACTAAACCATGGGGATGTTGGAGGTGGTGGTGCCGGGGGACATCTCAAGTCAGTCAGTCAACTCATGGCACCACCTGGGTCTGTCCCGTGACCTCCTGCCAGCCGGCGTTCGACACTTCACGTGGCCTTAAAGTGAACATAGCCTGGCACAAAGCACCGCCACTTAGTGGTGAATGGCGGTTGTTGTTGGAGGGGCTCCTCGCAGATCCTGAAATCTGCTTTGGTAAAGTTTGCGCTGGGACGGTGTGGCATGCGGATTTTAATAGCTTATTTTAATCTGCGAAATTCAGTTAATCGATGTGACCACGGGGAGAACATGCAAACTATAAATATACATTTCGATTTAAAGCTTTCGTGACTGCAATGATTCATCTTCTTTGGTTCTTTCGGTAAAGTAACGTAGAATGAGAATAAAATAATAAATTGATAAAATAAATTGATGAAATAAAATATAAATATACAGCAGGCGTCAGGGTCGTGATGGAACCCACGACGTCCTGTAAACCGGGCGAGGTAGTTAACATCTCGCCACCGTGGCGCCCCAATCAAGATTTAAACATGCCCAAAGCATTAGAAAGCCACCACATCTCGCCAATGCTTTCAACCCTCCGTCATCAGTGTAATGCGCCGGGGTAGCAAGATCCACTTGGACGATGTTGTCACATCATCGTGCTGATGCGAGGAACACCAGTCTGCTTAGCAACTTCATAATTCCTTATTCTCTCAAACCACTTATCTGTATACCCTTTTGGACCCATGCGCTTAACGTTCGTAACCCTAAACCGCATCCACACAAATTGTGGCTGATGTGGATAACTTGATGCATGAAGGGAAGAAAAAAAACATCTCCTGTGTGTGACTGTGGTCACCCAAAACAGACCGCGGAACACATAACGACTCAATGGCCAAATGACAACATTAAGGAGGCATCCTCAAAGGGATAAACTCCACTACTCCTGACTCAATGATCTGACTCAAGCACCTTCGTGTAAATTTTGACTTCAGACTTTCGTGACTGCAGGAATTCATATTGTTGGTTCTTTCGCTAAAGTCACGTAGATATAAAAAATAAAAGTTAATAAAATAAAAAAAAATACTTTTCGATCACTTGTGTTGTGATCAAAACGTCGTAATTTTTATTTACTTTATTTTTTATATTTTTTCTATCGACGTGACTTTACCGAAAGAACCAAAAATACACCTACGTGTAATATTATAGTTGTTGCTCGACATCAACATTAGCCATACAAAGAAGAATAATGTGCCATTGGCAGTGGCTACGGAATTAATCTAGGTAGGCAAAGTCACACTCAAGGTATTTGTCCCTGACACATAAAGCAGCAATGACAAAATCAATCATATTCTTTGGTTCTTTCGGTAAAGTCACGTACATTGAGAATAAAATAATAAATTGATAAAATAACACAATATTCTCACGACGTTTCGGCCACAACACAAGCGGCCTTCATCAGGTGAAGGGACGAGACTGTCTGGTAGGACAGCGCTGGAGTGAAAGAGCCACGTTCAGATCACGGCCTTTAAGCCTCAACTTTAGCACTAAAGTTGAGTTTGTGTTATTTTATTTTATCAATGTATTATTTTATTCTCATTCTACGTGACTTTACCGAAAGAACCAAAGAAGATGAATCATTGCAGTCACGAAAGCTTTAAATCGAAAAATCAATCATAGTTAGAGCAAATGCTTTTGATGGCAGACACATTAAGGGCCCTTAATGCAACTTGCTGCCACTCCGATGCGATGAATGAAATCTGCTCTCGAGAGCCACCAAGCGACTCTTTCGGGTTCCAAGATAAATACATCGCTCAACGCTTCGAACATCTGGCCGTCGATGGCTGGGTTTGGTGCTCGTTGAAGATTATTAGCAGTTATAAGATGGTGGCATCGGAAAAGAAAAACACCGCCACAATCATTATCATCGTTACAACTGTCACCATCGTCTTCATCAATATCAACATATAAATGATCAAAACCATCATCACAACAATTGTGAACATCATCATCATTCGTCATTGTGTATTCACAACTGTATGAAGGTCTCACCATACAGTCGTGCAATGGCACAATCCCTCTCATTCCTGCGAACATTAACTCATATCACTAATACTTAGGGCAGCGCATGGAGGTCGCGTGCCTACTGTGCAACAGTTGAGATAATTGACGAAGTTGTAGATATAAAGCGTTGGCCAGGTGTGGTGGCTTCGAAAGCTTTGGGCATGATGAAATTTTGATTGGGGTGTCACGGTGGCAAGATGTTAATTCCATCGCCGAGGTCGAGGGTTCGATCCCGACCCTGATGCCTGTATATTTGGAGTTTGCACGTTCGCCCCGTGGTCATGCGTATTTTTCTCTGGGTCCTCCGGTTTTTACACGCTTTTTTATTACACGCTTTTATTTAACTCACTGGCTGTTGTCGTTATTGTTGTCGTATCCTCAAATCTTGTAACTCAATTTTAACCCACTTCCCAATGTGGCATCGACTGCAAACTTGGTATACTTATGTCATACTGATGACAATACTATATTCTATCATTAAAAATAAAATTAGATATTTTTAAACATTATTTTTATGTTATGTTTCGGCTTGGCTGTAATTGGCCACGGCCCCTTGTTGTGGAAAGCTTCGGGGCCACTTCATGGAGTCGTGGAGTTCTGCCATTACGAGTACGGTACATTTCATTAAAGCGTGTTTTTTAATATTACTTATTCTCTCCACATTTAGAAGAATAAGTTAAAAGTATTTGGCTGCTATACAATTCCACGTGATACGCCACTTCGTTGAGCTATCATTTGTGGCGAGTGGGCCTTACCTGGCAAAATAAAAAAATGATTTCTGGGTAAACCCTCTTACTAGCAAATAAATATAAATTAACTAGCTTTACTACCCGGCTTCGCCCGGGACTCGGGTTCACCACGCCCGGCCGCCTTTGTCCCCCCCAGTGGCGATGTTCACACACCACAGCAGTTACTTGTTTGAGGCTGAGTCGACCTGTTGATAAACGACTGAAATAATGAAGCAATGCTGCACGAAGAACGCCTTAGACCTGCAACACATTTGTATGGCACTTTACACGCGCGGTGGAGAGTTGGGGGGGGGCGTGACATGAGCAGGCACACCGCGTTACGCTTCCACATGCGCGGGTCACATGACAGATGTGACGTCACAGCTCACTTGCCATGCAAAAATAAATGCATTGAGCCCCCCCCAATAAAAAAATATACAGAAGTCTATTTTTTTATAATTTTTGCATGCTGTACAGTCTGGAGAGTACCCACCATGGCAAATTTCAAGTTTGTTGCATGTCGGGAAGTACGCTAAACATTTTGAACAGACACGTAATCACAACTTTGCCTTTTATATATTTTGGAGATAACTGAAATTCACTCGTTGATAATAGGGATACGAGGGATGTGGATTGATTCGACTGTTTTTCAGTAAGTATAGCAATCTTTATGCATGGTGATCATCCTCTCAGGGAATATGATCTTCAGGTAGAGTGTGAGCTGTCCTCGTCCCATTGAATCGTCATCCCGTCGAGTGTGTCTAGTGAGTGTGTCTAGTGAGTGTGTGTGTGTAGTGTCTAGTTATGTAGTGAGTGTAGTGTGTGTGTAGTGAGTGTAGTGTGTCTAGTTATGTAGTGTGTGTGTAATAAAATGTTTCGCTCCGGATGAGCTGCTGATCTTAAAGGTGCATTGAAAAATGTGATACTCCGACTGGTGCTTCTGTTGTTGTGGAGTGACTCATGCAGCCAGCTATGGCTCTAGGGTTTGGTGTTACATGTTATTTTTTTAGTTTTTTTGTAAAAAAATCGGTCAGTCCCTATGATCACTGTTAAATTGCAATTATGGCTTCATTTTTTTAATTCGAAAATGTGTTTTGATTTGGACATGTTTGTTTTGTTGTAGTACGGAGTTAGACTGATGGCCTTAATCGAAGTTTTGTCTTGTGTTTGACTTGCATCCCACTGGGATTTTTGCACACAGCGTTGGTGTACGGTGCTTTTTCAGGAATATTTAACTGTTTTTTTCATGGATTTTCTGTTTGCACAGTCACATAGTCGCTTTAAGATGTTTTCTTGTTCGTGTTTTTGTTTTTTGTTTGTTGTGGTTACACCCGATTCAAGAGCCGAATAGCTCACAGGGCTATACCAAATAAATAAACAAAAAAATAATTGCTTGTCTCATCCATGTGCAGCACAAGCGACTGAATGAACGCACAGGAGACCAAGGCTGTACACGACGGGATACTGTGTGTTCTGTCGAGCAGCAGCAGAAACTGTAATGAAATAATAATTATCGTCATCAATTCAGCAGCATCAATATAGCACTGCTAATAGCTTAATGAATAGAATAAATATACACTTTATATTAAGAACTACAAACTTCTCTGTGGTCCATTGATTACTTAAAATGAATCCATCACTAAGCCATTTTATTTTGAGTGTTTTAAGGGCAAATTAATAACACATTTACAATGTACATTTTAGATTTATATAAGCTGCCCTGAATGTCAGCACATTTTATCTAGCACTGAGAAAACAAAATAGACCTCGCGATTAGACTTTTGTATAAACAGTGGCTAGCAAAAACAGTAATATCTTTGTCCAATGGTGCTATTTTTATTGCTGCTGTAAAACTCTTGTAATACGATTTTAATGGAACAAAATGAATATCAAGGACATTATTAAAAAAAAACACGAAATCTGCAAGATATGCTATCACCACGGTGATATTTGTGACTAACGTGGTGTTCATAATGCAATTATTCAAATGTTATCGCAGTATTGCCTTTTTCTGTTTGTGAGCAGGTGATATCGATTGGGAAGGATATTTAAATATGTATCTCTCATTTATAATTTTCACAAATTTGTAATTATATTAACATGCTTTCATATTATTGGTTCTTTTGGTAAAGTCATGTATAAGGGAAACAATAAAAATATATTATTTTATTGTTTCCCTTCTACGTGACTTTACGGAAAGAACCAAGAATATGAATCCCTGCAGTCACGAAAGCTTTAAATCAAAATATAATGCTTTCACTTAACACTTTAATATTAAACGTGGAGTTATCAATGTTTTTTGATAATCCTTTGCATGAGTAAGTGGACGATGGTCATAGAAGCGGTATTATCTGTTAATGGGTGATAGTTAAAGTGTGAGAAAGTCAGTGGTAATGTGGTTAATTTGAGTAGTTTGTACATGAATGATTAAAGTTGGATTAACCTTTGATTCGTGAAGCTTGTCCAAAAAATATTTGGTCGAATCTCAGGTCAGCTCGTAGGTGTGAGGAAACGATGTTCCTTTAATCTATATCCTCTGTTTCTTTTCTTGATCCAAAAAAGGTGACCCCACGGAAACTTTTGTGGGCCAAATCCTGCAGGGCACATAATAGGCTGCTTCATGGTGAAGGACCAATTCTGATTGGACAGAGGATAGGCAGATAATGATATAAAAAGGGGACTTTTGGAGTGTTGAGCACCAGACTGGTTTGGTCCTGCACAAGAAGCAGAAATACAGGTGCTCTGAGGTGATCTACGGCTGCAATAAATTATCAAGAAGGCGCAATGGCTCGTGTCCTGGTAATCGCTGCTGTCATGCTTGCAAGTGGTAAGATACATATTTCCATCTACGTATAGTGCTTTCTATCTTTCGAGAACTTCAAAATCTCTCATGGAGTTTCCCATCCAACTTCTCCAATTTTTCCACCAACTGATCCATCCACCTCCTGTCCTTCCATTTTCCCCTTGCAGAATCATCTTTGTCATGTTCCAGCTGACCCTCTTAGGCTATCATCTCCCAAATTATCTTCTGCCCTTTTCTAAGACTAAACTATGTTTTTTTTACCGGGTAAGGCCCACTGAGCTATATAGTTATTTTTCAGAAGTGGCCTGGCCACAAATGATAGCTCAACGAAGTTGCTTATCATGTGGACATTTATAGCAGCCAAATACTCGAAACGAATATTTCTAGATGCGGAGCGAAAAACCGGAGCTGGAGAAAAATCCACATTACCAGAGACACTCCAAATATACAGGCGTCGAGGTACAACCCACGACCTCCTTCATACAAGGCGAGGGAGTTAACATCTCGCTACCACGGCACCCCAGTTTCAAAAACCATTTTGTTCCATCCAATTATTCTCTTAAACCCTTGTTCACATTTGCTATAATCAATGATTGTGCTTCCAAGGTATTTTAATATGTGCATCTGCTCCAAGTTTCTCATGCAATTATACTTTGATAGCAGGGGCTTTTTCTTCATCTCTTGCTTTTGCCTTCATTATTACAAATGTTGATATTCAGACCACGTTTTCTGCTTAAATTATACATCCTAACCATCAGTTATTGGCGATCAGCTGATATAATTCACAGCATGTTAAATCAGGGCATTATACGTCAGTTATACTATCACCAATCACTACTACCAGCAGTATTACGAAACAACCCTGAATAAAATACAAACTAAATATGTACCGCATTCACACGTCAATTTACACTCAAGTTCCTTACTACTTGCAGTACATTATATTGAAATTTATTATAACATACATTTAAAGGTAGCTGCTGCAGTTATTGTACACAACCGTGTTTTTGTATTGTGTTTTGCAGTGTTGCTTGCCAGAGGACAGGAAATTGAGCATAAGAGAGAAAAACGAGCCATCTGGAACTTTGCTTGGATGATCTGGAAAGTCGTGAGAATAAATCCGGCAGAGTACAGCGGCTACGGCTGTAACTGTTTATCAACCGGTCATGGAAAACCAGTCGATGATGTGGACAGGTGATGTGCATTGTGCATCTTCCTTTGAGAATAACAGTTCCGTTATACTCCCTTTCCATCCTTTTTTTCGGTTGCCGAACGAATACGTTACGAGGTCGCACTCATTACACACCAAGTGCTTGCCACAAAAGAATCACAATACCTCGCTGATCTCAAGGAGACTAAAACAGTATGCGAACTCCAGCCATCCTTGCAGTGGCTAGCCAACGAACAAAGACGGTCACTGTAATATGCGCTTTCAGATGTGCTTCTGCGGCCGTCTGGAACGCTCTTCCTTCAGATATTTAGGAAGCTACTGGCGCTTTGCACTTTGAAATCTAGATTGAAAACGAATTTCTTTCGAACTGCTTTGTGTGTTACTTTGTTGTCCTTCCCCCGCACCTCTGATTAGCATTGTTCGGTTATGTACAGTGTGAAAGACGTCCAACACACATGCAAAATTCTGGCTGTGTGTCTATACACAGGTGCTGTCAAGCTCACACCAAATGCTACGAGCAAGTCTACAAAATGAGTTGCTCACCGCATTGGGACCCGTATTATTTCTCCATCAGAGGAAAAGCCATACGCTGCAGTGAGTGACGCGGACGCATTTGTCTTTACACACATGCAACAAACATGCTACATGCCGCAACGTCGATAACAGTGGCCATTGCTATGGTATCCATTGGCACGTACGCATACCTATCAACCCCTTATCAATGCCCTGCCTTATCACAGACCAATTCAGACTATTGGTCACCCCGTGTCCTTATAAATCCCAACGTTCATCCTTCAAAGTCCCATCACAAGGGAGAAACACAAACAAATAGACAAAAACGTGACCTTTTAAACTCAATTTCCCTGTACAAGAATGTGGGTAAAACGTATGCGTTGACAGGTGTGTGCGTACGCGTTTGTTCTCTTTGGCATCTTTCAACGTGGCTATGGCGAAGGGTTACCGACATTAATGGTGCCCATTCACTTCTCTTTGTTCTCTTGACACGTCAGCCCGTGGCGGACCGCCGTGCGACGTCCACACGTGCCGCTGCGACAAGGCTGCCGTAGAGTGCTTCGCTCGCAGCCACTTCAACCGACGCTACCGCAACTTCAACCGAAAGAGATATTGCAAAAAAGAAGACGACTAGGCACACCGGTCACATTTAATGCAACCGCATTCACATACGAACAGTGACGTTCCCATGTAATGAGTTTACCCGACAACAACATTATAATAAAAAACACACTTCTGCAAATAATGTATACATTGTAACAAATAATTTGGACAATTAATTTGACTTCTGGATCAAGATTCAGTAACTAGTGGGTAATAACCATCAAAAAATGGGCTGTTTAAAACTATCTTGATCATATGTGACTGCAAAGGTGTGATTCTCTTATGGATATACTCTAGTAATCCAGTTGTCAAATTGTGTGGTGATACGGCATTTGGCAGTGGTGCAAAAAAGCACAATTAGCAGGAAAACAAAACGCCTTCGTCAATAACACTACCTTTAAAAAAGTTTAGGCAATGTCTTTGGGCAATGGCCATTCTTCAGAGAACACGTGCCATTTCCCAAACCATTGCTTATCAGAGTACATTACTGTATACACTTTATTAAGGCAGTTTTATTGTCAACCGTGTTCAGTTACCTTTTCGTGATGGTAAAACATACTTGCTGATTTCTCTTTCTTTTGTTTCAATTTCAAATTTACAGCATTGTACTTTGGGAAATGATGTTATTGACGGTGTGGGCTTAATGGTTGTGCTGTAAATGTCAAATACAATAAACAGTTCTAATCAAATGCTGGTGCATATAACTTGGGTGAAAGTGAGTTGTACAATACATTTGAAGACCCTACAAATGCATTGCACAACTCATTCTAATGGCATCTTCACTGTCAGCCACAGTCAATCCACTGCTGGATGAAGGCCTCCACATTCCATATCCATCACTCATTCTGCGATGTATTAAGTACCTGCACATTACCTGATTTCATAGTTTTGTCTGCCCAGTGGATCCACAGCTTAGACACGTTGTGCTTCTTGGGCTGCCATTCCATTATTATTTATTTTAGTTCAACGTTTTATTCACCTCTATTCTAGATTTAAAGCTTTCGTGACTGCAAGGATCCATACTCTTTGGTTCTATTCGGTAAAGTCACCGCATGTTGTGCATAGCTATGGTGAGATCAAGAAGGTGTTTTGTTCGTACTTAGTGATTCAGAGCACCTCCTACTCCTTCACCTGCCCAGGTGAATATTAGGAAGCCACTGGGAGATATGCACTCTTAAATCTAGATTAAAAAATAATTGCTTTAGAACAGCTTTATGTGAAAGAATTTCAACATACACCTTTGTTGAAAAATCTCATTCCATCATCGCTTACGATTTAACTCCACAGTACCATCGCCAACATATTCGTTTGAGAGATTGTATACCCGATAGAGTATTCCAATTATGATATAGTTATTATCAAGTTTAGTAGTAAAAATATGTCAACCTGTTTGGTTTATGCTGATTACAACTGAAAACAACCTCTTTAGAAGACAGTTCGTTACTAGTTATGCTCATATAGGATTTTGAAAAGTCGATAAAAGGTTACATAACGTAAGCATTTAAAACGGTGTTATTCTGCTTTTCCATCACATCTTGATTGATTTGCTTAGAATTTCCATGACCGATAATACACCCATTCCATACAGTCATTCTGCAAATGTCCATTAGATTAGGTATTCACATTTTCCTTAAATCAAAAATGTGTCAACATAAAGGATGAGCAACTACAGTGTTCATGGCAATTATATGAAGCGGGAAAATATACACTGTGCCTTATTCTGTTTTTGACAAAAAACATGGCAATCACTGTGCTTAATAGTTGGTGCATGAAATGTGGTTTAATCATCCTTGCAGCTCTCAAATGTGGAGAGAAATGTTAGACAATATTTTGGACAACATGCGGTACAACGTGGAAACACATCAGAGAACTATGCAGCACAACTAAGTATTTAAATGCAGTATTATTTTACCAGCCTTGTTATTGAGTTGAATATATACATATGTCTCGGCTTCGCTGTGCGCTGCATTGCACCACTATCTGAGTAGTTAACCTTGCATTCAATACACTTTCAGAGCCAGGGAGAACAACCGACTCCAACGTATTTAATTAATAGAACGAGGTAAAACTGATGGAAAAACTCAGCACAAAATACAGCATCTGTTAATACTTGCAATATCGATACAATAAATGAACACAAGGAGCATCATAACATTGTCTTAGATAATGTGAAACTCAACAATAGGTCCTGGATAGACAGGGCCTCTACATTAGCAATGAATACCGATACAATAGAATAAGCTATATTAAATAAGGTCACATCGTGTACTCACCATACTGTAGCCTAAATGTACAGCGCAGCACATAACACTAAACTGTGGATGAGAAACTTCTTCATCCTTGCTCTCAAGATCGCATTAAAGTTACTTGGGTACAAGTCTGGCTCGACTTATCCAACTACAAGTAACATTCACAATAATGCAAGTGGCAGGCTTCGTTGTTAACTAGGCCTCATATTTATAACAATTCAACAACATTATAAAGGCACTTGCAGCATTATAATGGAAATCCTAACATTATAACAGCATTCCCAGTATTATAAGAACATAAACGAACTTACAGACAATGCTTCTGAAAGTCCCACAATGAACAGATGCACCTGTCTTCACCGAGACGCTATTTGTGCCTCCATTTTGTACTCTGTGTAATGGCTGACACCCTGCCACATGGCTTAGAGAATCTTAAATCGTAACTTCCTGGTCACGTGACCAAACTCAACACCATATCAGGAAATTCCTGTGTACGCACACCCCTATACCTGCTGTGAGGCAGAACAACATAAATTGCGTGAATAAATTAAACTTAGTGACACACTTGAAATATTGATTCTGAACTGAGAAGACTAGTGTGTTCATGTGGATGATCATCACTTTAAGGCGAGTTTGCATTTCCCATCATCACATCACCAGTGCCTCATAACATCGATGGTCATCTCTGGGTTGTTTTGACAGTCTCTAAAGAACTAAATCAAACCAAGAACCACAGTGTCAAAGAACTTCCAAGTTGAACATCGGCCGCCCTAACCCATTGACATGGCACTGCCAATAACAACACATTGTGCTTGTGCAGTGAAAACGATGCAAACGTTACAAACTTCATCAGCATTTTCACAAATTCCTGCTTTGTTTAAAGGTGTTTTCAGAAGGGTCGGTCACGCATCGCCACAGTAACGCCTCTTCATCCATTTGGCTGGATTTGGGCAAGTCGATCGAGTGGAGGTGTTGCTTAGGTAAAAAATAAAACAAAAATCACGACGTTTTGGCCACAACACAAGCGGCCTTCATCAGGTGAAAGTGCTGGAGTGAAACACAGCCAAGCTCAGACCGTGACCTTTAAGCTGTGTGAGAGTAATTAAGGTGCCTTGACAAAGGAATTAGCATAAAAAAATGCATTTTAATAGGCAGACTTAGCATGATGAAAGGTAGGGAGGGGGTCGACCTGTGCAGGCTGACGAGGGGTCACGGCAGCATCCACATGCTGGTGGTGTGAAAAGGGGATTTTAAGACGCTGCGAAAGTTTGGGGTACCACTACTTGAAAAATATACTGTACCATTGAAAAATTAGTTTAATGTTTGGTTCGATGGTTGCTTAAGCAACCATTGGAAAGATGTTCTAAATCAATTGGGGATGGGAGGTGAAACATGAGGCTGGTCGGTCCAGCCTCATGTTGTTGGTACCCCCCCCCCCCAGCCATATTGCCAGCTGTCATCTGCAGGTGGCATCGGTTCTGAAGTGGAGGCAATGATGGCCCGCGGGTTGTTGACTGCAGCTGTTGCATTGATTGCAGGTGGTATATCGTCTCACTGTATGATAACACTGTGTAACAAAATATTTTTTATCATTTTTGTTCCTGGGTAGTTTGTGTTATCTCCTAATTCCTTATGCCTCAAAAAAGTACAGAAAATGGCTATTATTACCCACAAACTTTGCTTTTGTGACCAGGGCAGTGATATTTTGAAATTTGCCTATTTTCCAGAACATTCCAGATAGATTCAGTGCTGAGAAAACTTGGAGTAACTTCTAGAACATTCTACAACTTTCCAGTAATATAAATAGTAATATAAATACAGGGGTCATAAGCCCACCAGTTCAGTTTCGTTCCAGCTGCCTAAGTGGATACAAATCTACATTTTTTACGAGATGGCATCAAGAGGCTGCAAGCATCCGGCAGGTGCATTTTGCTATATCTGCGGCCAATTTTTCAAGACAAGAGCGAAAAAGTACTGTGTGGAAGCATCTGCTAAGATGTGAGGCCTACAAGGCATATTTCGGCATGCCTGTCGGGGATCAAGACAAACCCTGGGCACCTCATTTCACCTGCGAGCAATGCAAAAATACTCTGGAATAAAAGATTGACATTTGTTGCTCGGAATTAAATGTTATGAAATGTAAAAAATGTATTATTGGAAAAGTTTATAATTTTTAAATGTTTTATAATTTTAAATGTAATTGAAAAAATATATCATACTAGCCTTTTGCCCGTCCAAGGACGGGTGTATTTCAGTAAATCTGAAACTTGCAAGCGAAAAGCAGACCGCGACATGATATTCATTGCATCAATTCGTGTGCAATTTGTAATGCCGTGGTGACACAGACTTACGTCATTTAAAGGTTATCATCCCTTATTCATCCTTTTAACTTGTCTCTATAGTGTTACGGAGATCGAGTGATGCGAGGGTTCTTTCTTTGTAGTGAGGGTTGTAAGTTGACGCAGAGGAGGCGCCTCACCCCTCCATGTAGAGTGACGTCACCCGCTAATTATTATTAATGGTGGGGGTGTCCATTTGGAGGACGTCACCTGTTCATGATTATTAATGGGGGGGGGGGGGGTGTTCCATGTAGAGGACGTCACCTGTTCATGATTTTTTATGAGGGGGGCTGGCCGACGTGGAGTGACCTTACGCGCGGGACACACAGACATTCTTGGCTCATTATAGTAGTGTAAAGGAGTTCCCGACGACTCACTTGGAGGCTAAGGTAAGGTAAGGGCTTCCGCCAAGGTTTTATTACAAATCTTTAACAATACACAGGGGTGAACAACTCCCCAGGGGTTAGGGGCCCCGGGCTAGATCCCGACACAGCCGGCTGCCCTGTGCTGTCTCCTCTGCCCCGGCCGTGGGATCAACCAACACGGCCGACCGAGGAGCACAGCCACGTCTAGCCTGGCACTGTGCTCTCCCCTATCCCTACCCTCTTGCCCCTGGCTCCCCGTTCCACCCTTCTCAGACCCTACTCTCCAGCTACGACCCCGCTTACGTCACGGGGTCTCCTTTTGATCCTTGAGGAGCCGTGACGTCACTCTGCTGCCCCGAGCGCATGACATCACGTCATCGCCCTGGACAGCACAAGTGACGCTACTTCCCCATTCTACTCCTCTACATTACCCCCCCCTGTGAAAAAAAACAGCCGACCCGGCTGCAAGAAAACCCCAACCTTAGGGCAGCATGGCATCCCAGGCATCACAATAACCACAACCAAATGAACGGGAAAAAAGTAAGACGGCTTCTTCCGGCCGGCAGTGCCGAGCGGGCGCTGGGGCTGGGTCCGACGAACGGCCGCCCAGGCCATCACCGGAGCTGCATCCCCCTTGAACGGGTATGCGCTGCCGGCCCGCTTCCCCGTGTGGCGTCCGCCGCCGGTGCAGGTGGGCTGTCCGCAGGCAACAGGCCCACCGCCGTAGCCTCCGGTGGCCGGAGGGTCCTCGCCGGCGCTACTTGGAAGGGCCCTGGGGGCACACAAACAGGGCGAACGCCACCCCCGTCAACAGGACCCGGCCGGACAGGCACGACGGACGCATCACCCGCCGGCCGCCCCGGAGTTGGGGGTGGATCCCCCAGGGTAGATGGAATATAGTGTTTAAGCCGGGACGGGTGCACTATCCACCGCCGGCGTCCGAACCGAATCCGGACGCACTGCGGCCGGGGAACTTCCACGACCTCAACGGGACCCTGCCAAGGGCGGTGCAATTTGGCAGATGTGCCAACCGGGACCTGGGGACAATGCAGCCACGCTTTCTGGCCCGCTACCCACGGGAGGCCCACTGCCTGGTATTTGGGCAGCCGCTCATTAGCTGCCTGCCGGCCGGCGGAATTCTCGGCAACGGCCTGCCGTGCCTCGCGCAGCCGGTCAAGCACGATTTTCAAAGGGACCGGCACAGCCGACCCCTTCCTGGAGGAGCCCACGTCCAGTTGGACGTGCACCGGGGGCTCCGGCTCCCACCTGTACATTAAATATAAAGGCGAAAATCCCGTTGAGGCATGAGGAGCCAACCAATACGCTGCCAAGAACCCCGGGACGAACAGGTCCCAGTCCGATTGAGACGTGTTCACATGGTGGCACAGCATGGAAGTGAGGGTGCGGTTCAAGCGCTCTACCATCCCGTCCGATTGGGGGTGGTAGGGCGAGGTGCGGATTTTTTTGGTGCCAAGGAGGTCACACACCTCCTTGAGCAGCTTAGATGAGAAATTCTGCCCCTGATCCGTCAACAATTGTTCCGGCGCACCCTTGTCCAACACGTACCCCTGGACGAATGCCTCGGTGAAAGAAGAGGCCGACTGATCGACCAAAGGCCACGCCACAGGCCAACGTGCGAGGTACTCAACGCCCACCAAGAGGTATTTATGGCCCCGTTGGGATGCAGGGAATGGGCCCAAGATGTCGAGCGCCACGAGTTCATTAACGCGAGAAACCCGGATGGACTGCAGCGGGGCCCGGTCCTGGACAACTGGGGCCTTCCTCCGCGCGCAGTCATGGCAACCCTTCAAAATCAGTGCCACGCCACCCTCCACACCTGGCCAGTAATAGTCCCGCTTAAGGGTCAATAGGGTCTTGTGGTAGCCAAGGTGCATAAGCTTCTCGTGAATGGCTCGGGTTAATTTACCACGTAGGCTAGTGGGCACAACCACGCAATAGCGTTCCAATTGGGCATCCCAACGCATGAGGAATCCATCATGCACGGCGATCGCTGGGGCCGCCAATGAAGCTGAACCCCGGGCCGTACGTCCGACGCGTCACCGTAGCTTCAGCAGGGAGGAATCCTCCATCTGCAAGCTGGACCATACCTCCCGGGGGAGTCCCAGGCCGAAATCCGCGGATGTCGCCGCACCCGGGGGGGTGGCCGTCGCGGCCGACGCGACCAACTGGGCCGCGACGTCTCCTGGGGCCTTGCAACAGCTAGAGCCCAGGGCGCAAGCACACCCGCCG